TATTGATCAGGACCAATAACCAATAACCAACGGCAGTATTGATCAGGACCAATAACCAATAACCAACGGCAGTATTGATCAGGACCAATAACCAACGGCAGTATTGATCAGGATCAATAACCAATAACCAATGGCAGTATTGATCAGGACCAATAACCAATAACCAACAGCAGTATTGATCAGGACCAATAACCAATAACCAATGGCAGTATTGATCAGGACCAATAGCACTATTGATCAGTACCAATAACCAATATCCAATGGCATTATTGATCAGGACCAATAACCAATAGGCAATGGCAGTATTGATCAGTACCAATAACCAATATCCAATGGCAGTATTGATCAAGACCAATAGCACTATTGATCAGGATCAATAACCAATAACCAATATCCAATGGCAGCATTGATCAGTACCAATAACCAATATCCAATGGCACTATTGATCAGTACCAATAACCAATAACCAATGGCAGCATTGATCAGGACCAATAACCAGTAACAGCATTGATCAGGACGAATGCCAGTATTGATCAGGACCAATAGCACTATTGATCAGGACCAATATCCAATGGCAGCATTGATCAGGACCAATAACCAATAACACTATTGATCAGGACAAATAGCAGTATTGATCAGGATCAATAACCAATAACCAATATCCAATGGCAGCATTGATCAGGACCAATAACCAATATCCAATGGCAGTATTGATCAGGACAAATAGCAGTATTGATCAGGATCAATAACCAATAACCAATGCCAGTATTGATCAGGATCAATAACCAATAACCAATATCCAATGGCAGCATTGATCAGGGCCCACCTGAGCTGCACCACCACGTTGGTCTCGTTGTCCAGGATGTAGAGCAGCACCACGAGGGACTGGAAAACCCCAAAGAAGACGGAGCGCACGGAGAGCCCCTCCAGGGACTGCCTGCTGTTCCAGAACTGGATATCTGGGGAAAAAAAAATGGGAATTCTGGGAATTCTGGGATCCCCCAGAGCCCCTCCAGGGACTGCCTGCTGTTCCAGAACTGGATATCTGGGAAAAAAATGGGAATTCTGGGAATTCTGGGATCCCAGGGAGCCCCTCCAGGGACTGCCTGCTGTTCCAGAACTGGATATCTGGGAAAAAATGGGAATTCTGGGAATTCTGGG